CCGCCGGCTCGCTGCTCCCATGCCGGTGCAAATGGTGAGGATAAGATCCCTGCCGGTGCGGCTCAGGGAGCTGTGTGGGTTGGAAAGGGGCCAGGTCCGATCGATCTTGCAGTTGCTGCAAGGAGGGCAGCTCGGGGGGGGGAAGTGGGTTAGACGGGCCTCCGGGGAGGTAGGGGGTGGCCATGGGTGAGTAATAGGGGTGGAAGGAGGGCGAAGCTTGCAGACTGCCCAGGTGTCCCCGTCCATGTTCTCCCATGGGAGCCACGTGCATGTGGCGGCTTGCCTCGGCTGGCTGAGGGTAGAGGGGATCGGGGGGGCCAAGCCGCGCGTCCGGAAACTGCGTGGGGGGTCCGACTGTCTCCTGCTCCTCTTCGTCTTCGCCCAGGCAGGACGAGGCGACCCGCGCCGAGAGGGTGTCGAGGGAGAAAGGATCGTCCTCCTCCCGGCCCGGTGCATGGTCGTGTGTCACTGACCCTACAAGGGATGATGGTTGCTGCCCGTGCTCCTGGGACTGCTGGCGCTTGGGAAGGAAAGGACGCGAAGACGAAGACAGAAGCGAAGGGGAGGCCGTGAGTGAGGTGGAAGATACGGGCGAGAAGGTGTTGAGGGTGGTTGCGGAGACGGAGGACGGCACGCGCGACTCGGGGGAGGGAGACAAGGTGTTGGCAGGGGAAGAAGCCACCGAGGGGGGGGAATGACCCGCCGAAGCCGAGAGAAGATGTGGTTGGGCGCTGTAGAGGAGCAAACCTTGGCAAAAGGATTTCCACTGTGCCGATGTACGGGTGGGAGAGGAGATGTGCATGTTTCATTCCGGTGGGTCACGTCTAGGGCATGTGACAGCGATTCAACTCCCCTCCTCGTACCTGCGGCTCCTGCTCCGGTGGACAAAGGGATGCCAATGTCATTTCTACGCCACCATTCTCATACACTCCACCTTCTGATGCTTCCATCAGGAGAGCTTGGATGTACGGGGCAAAGGTGCCATCATCTAGACCCATCGTTCTCAAGCTGTCATGCAGCCACAGTTGGAAAGGAGTAAGTTGAATGCCGTTCATGCTTCCGAACGCCGAAACAAGGCGGGAAATTACCGCACCCCGGTCCGCTTCCGTTACAAGAGCAGAACTGTGATTATGAATGCGAGAATGTGCATGTCGATGTCCGGGAATGGCATAAAGAGGGCGTGCAAGTAGCCCTGGTTCCGACCCGACTCGGGCGTTCAAGCGGAGGGCGAGCGATCCGATCTTCATCTGGCTCTTGTCGGAATCGTCCGTTTCACGGGGCACGCACCTATGTTCAGAACTTATTGTTTAATGACTGCGTACTGCTAAGGTTATACTGATTGTTTGGACAAATTTTCAATGTTAAAATCATTATGGTTACTTTTGTTATATTTTGTTGTGCTCGTGCACATTTCGCAAATTAATACCCATACATGTATCTGATCTTATATATGTATATATTCATGTTCTCCCATTAATATTGCATGTACTCAATCCTAAACCCAGACAATTGTAAAGCATATGCACATGTGCTTCATGTGTAAAATGTAAAAAACATAGAGGTAAAAATTAACCATCAAGATAACCTGCCTCCCTGTTTTCTCCAGGCGCCTGAGAATATGGTCACATAATTTGTACAGGACACCGATGGAAAGTTCCGCAACTTCCATGAAAACGCAGCGCCATCCGTGTGCGAACACGACGTCGTGAAATTGCAATAAATCATTCATGGCTTGCGGTGTCCTGCTGGATTAAGGTGGAAATTCCGTCTCAATTAAGTAATGGCCAGATCGCATGCCGCATGTGCGGCAGACGCGATGGGATCAAACTTCCCTTTTCATCCTTTGGAAGAAGTGATGGCAAAGCGCGTCGCGCGAGTCTTGAAGTGGGGCAACCTTTCATCCACCAATACGCTAGCCGGACTGCCGATTACTTTGTCAGGCTGGTCGGCTCCAATGCATTGGACATCGGGAGCAAGCATCTTTCGGTTGAGGTGTCGGAGAGACTTTAGCTCCCACATAGTCACGCGCTTCTGGAAAAACGTGCAGGATCCCATTTGTCACCTACATATTGTAACCCTAACAACGGATGCTGGACCCCCGCGCCTCAGATGACGACTTATTGCGATCAATCGCTCCTCGCAAATCCCTGAGCGCGTGGTCCACCCCCTGCGCTTCGCATTTCAAAGATCTCGCATCGTGTTGACTGTCATCTCCTTGATCCGGCAGCGTACAGACTGCTTCGAGGGGCTGCGATATTGCTACAAGGGCCTGAGTCTGCTGAAAACGTCGGGCATTTAGTATTCTCCGCGGCGAGCGAAGGATGTCAATGGCCGCAAGGGGACTGACTAAGTGTGTATTTCGCTTGCAGCTCGAACAGCTTGATAGTTTGGTTTTTTTTTTGAATGTTTCTCGTGTTAAGTAGCGCATGACAAGCTAGTAGGATCTGGGATCATCCAGGTCGAGCTAGACTACCGAATGAGCCACTAAAAGTATGAAAAAAATAAGCCTTTGTAGCAAGTTCGTACCAAATATATGTATATATAAACGATTGCGAGTGCTCAGGCACTTCTTTTTTTGGGGGGGTTTTGTGCGACATTAAGACTTCCGAATTGGCAATCTCGATCGTCTTGCATGCGTACTCCCCGTACTTTGCCCATTTAAGACCGGACTCCTGGGGAAGAGCTGAATGTCAACACATTGCGAACGGCTCTGGATAGTTAATAGATGACACAAGGCAGGAACTCATCAAAATATACAGGCCAATCTGTACAAACGCGCAATTTGTACGGCATTTAAAAGGCCATGATCTGCCTCAATTTTCCCTTAATACTTCCAGCTTGTCATTACTCTTTCCACTTCCACCATGCTTGGACCTCTCAATCCGAAATCGTAGCTTAGCTGAGACGGGGACATGATCGGAGGGGATGCATTCCTGGTCCTCTACGGCTGGCAGTGGCAGACCGTACACCGCCTTTTCCCTCTCCTCCCCTTTACTTACTAAAAACATTTGCCCACCTTCCTCCCCCGCCAAACGGACATCCATGACAGGGGAGACATCTACATCTTCAAGAAATACCCCCTCCCTTCTCTCTTTGCCTATCGCCAACCCGTCACCCGTCTCCCAACTTTTTTTTCCGGAAACTCTTTGTCCCTCGCCCGTGACCCAAATGTAGTCGACCCGAGACCGGCCTTGCAAGGTGATACTGGTGGGACCGAACTCCTCCCCCAAAACGTCCACATACCCCATCTCCTCCCTCATCGCAAGATACATAGGTGTGTAAACCTTCTTTCTCTCGACCTCCGTTTCCCCCGTCCGCCCATCCGGAGTTCTTCCCTCGTTTGCCAAAGAAGGCTCTTCCGGGCCTAAGAATGGGGCTTCGTTTCCGTCCATCATGATCAAGGTGGGGACCTGCCCCCACGCCCGATTCCTTTGCTCCTGCCTTTCCACCGTCCCCTTTTCCCCTCCCTCCGTCTCTACCAGACCCCAGACCTTTCGAATTTCTCGCAATGCCCGCTCTAATTCCCGGACCTGGACTGCCCGCACCCCTGGCGCCGCCCGCAGTTCCGGAGAGTGGGCCAACTGCGAGCACACGGTCAAGAGTCGTTGCCCCGTCGCGCGGTGCTCCAATAAGGCGACCACAGCCACCCAATCGTCCCACGACTTTCCCTCGCATCTGGTCAACCCTTCTGGTGCCGTGAAGGTCCAGGAATCCACGAAATCCTCCGAAACTCCCTCCTCCCCACCCTGCCCCTTCAACATGCTTGCCTCATCTGCCCCTCCCTCCCCATTGTCGCTCGTCTCGCCCGCCACGATCCTCCCCTGCATCTTTAATGTGGAGCGGAAGAGGGGTAAGGCATCTGCGTCGACCTCCCCACGCGTACGGGCCGTCGGGCAATCAGGGATGCCATTGGCGGTTGGCTGCTGCTGCTGGCATTGTCCTTGATATTCTCCTCTTTTACAGGAATGCGGTTGGTGGTGTCCATGTTGTTGGTGCTTTTCTTCGGAACATACCATGTACGCTTCTGCACTGTAACGCACGACTGCCACGGCCCTTGGCCCCTTTCCATCCATCTCCCCGAGCGCCCCGCCGTGAATCGCCTCCTCCTCCTCCTGAGGAACGCCTCCGAGCCGGCACAGGCGCAAAACACGGGGATTGTAGAATATAGCACAGCCGTCCCCCGTTGCCCGTGCATGCCGATGTTTGTACACGGCCATCCGCAGGCCTCGTGCTTCCAGGTGCTCCCTCACGTCCTCCACTTTGTCTACTTCCTCTAAGCCCAGCACGTCCGCCTGCAGCCCCTCGATCACCTCCATGATGGCCGGACCCCGGAGATTCCACTCCATTCTATGCTGAAAACGTGAGATCCGGTCCATGTCTGCCGCGCTCAGGCTCATAAATGTCGCCATTTCCAGAGCCACTTCCCGAAACTCCTCCTCGATCCGGCCGTCCGACAGTTCGAAATGCTCCAGAACCCCCTTGTGGTGACTATGCCGCCGGCGTAGTACGAGGACCCGACGTAACCACACATTAAAACGGTCGATCGCCGCGGCGCGGTCCACCGAGCCTGCCAGGGTCTCGTCTATGTCTTTCCTGAGGCCTTCGGCTTCTTTCCAATCGTCCAGAGAAAGACTGTACCCCAGCGGAAAAAGCAAAGCGTGCTCCACGACTTGAAAGTCCGGATTCTTCCGATCAAAAAGATAATGGGCCAAATATGTGTTCCCCTGAGTATTATTGTTGATGTTGCGATGAAAAAAATCGAACGTAGCCGTCTCCAACAGGCACTTGAGCGCAACTGCTGGACCTTCCGTATGCACATCCTTCGCTGCATCCGCATGAGTCAAGACGTCGATGCGGTATGGATTGGTGGGCTCGTGATCGAACAAGCGCAGGTACTTCTTAGCCACACACCAGAGGTCAATAAAAAGCTTGCTGCGTCCCGCTCCAAATGTTTGAAAGCGAGCTTCGTCAAAGGCGTCTCCCGTGTAATGAGGGACAGTAGGAGACACACCCCGAAATCCGTACCAGAACCATGGCTTTCAAGAAACATGATTTCGACAAGAAGAGGAGGAAATATAGTGTGATTCATGAGAACAGAAGATTGAATAAACAGATCTTAAATATGTTAGAAACAGGATACGTCGACATAAAGACATGGAGCCACAGCATCAAGTCATAGAGCTTCTATTACTTTGTACACTTTGATTTATGATACATAAGAAAGACATGAAATTGCCCCTACCCGAAGATTGTTGGCCAAGTTGGCGGCAAGGATGTTGTATTGGGAAACCTGGAGGGTAAAAGACAAGCTTTTGGCCGCCGATGACATCAAAGGCATGGGTAACATGCTGAGCGCACTTGTTGTTATTGCTGTCAATAATGGATGTACACAGATTTCGAGATTATTTTACAGATCTATCCTTTCAGAACAAATGAAGAGTTACTTAAGCGCCTTGCGCACCTTCGATAGCCACTAATTGTCGAATACAACCGCGTCCTATTAATTTGAAGCTCATGGCTTCCTCAGTTCTGAGTGTGATTCCCCCCGTATCATTCGTCATGCGCAGGCAACCAGGCATTTTCCTGGCACATGGTTGCCGGCAATTACTGCTTGGGGTCGCGGTGTACGTACTCGCTTTTTTCGGTATCGCCGAAGCGTTTCGTTCCCGGAGATACCGAGGCCCCCGGGAAAAGCATGGGGAAGCTTTGTCCCTCACCTTTTTAATGTTAATCGCTCGCATGGTGTATATTTTACCAGCATAAAATGTGTTGGGTCGGTGTTTAAAACCTGTTTGGGTACTCGATCCCCCAAACCGACGCCATGCAGCTGCAAGATGTGGACATTTCTGGTTCCCTGTTTTTACCTGAACCGCATGAGGCTTCCTATTTTGTGGAGTGAAAATTCTTACTCGTACAGGCAGAGACTACTGTCGGCAAGTAATGCTTCATTTTCAAATGCCACATCAAGATACAATGCGCCGAAACTTTCGTTTCTTGTTTTTGGTAATGCAATGCACAATTTCTTCTAGAAAAGTTTACATGATTTTGCAGCAAAGTTAATGCCTGCTATGGTGAAATCGGCGTAGGAAATTGTGGAAAGGTAAATAACAAGATTTTTAAAGCCACGCGATACACTTAAAACTTGAGCGCTAAACCCGAAATCCGAAGTAGCTGTGCATAAACATAAAGATAGAAGATGAGTCACACGATCTACTACCTTTGTGTCATAATTCCTTCAGTACACCAGCGCCTAGACCCACCGTGCGTATTTTTTTATGTTGCTTCCAAACATGATACTCGATTTAGCAGGCTATATCTTTTCATCCGTTTCTACCAAAGCTCCAACCCCAGCCCACCCTCCAGCCACTTCCAACCTGACCATGACCTGCCTTTCATCGCGATCAAAGCTCCAGGATTCAATCGAAATGCTCCTTCACCCGTTGCTCGACATTTCCTCTCGCACGCGCACAGTTTCTAACCTACCCGCCTACCCCCTCGGCTCCCTCCGCTCTTCTACCATCCCCTTTTACGTCCCCCTTCCCTCTTTAATCTCCTCCCTCCTCGCCTCATATGTAACCCTGCGGATTCTGCTGCTGCCACCGCCATAAGTCCCGGGTCATGTCGTCCAAGCCCCGGGTAGCTTTCCAGCCCAATTCTCGCTCTGCCTTGCTGGGGTCAGAGTAGACTTCGTCGAGGTCCCCCGGTCGCCTGAAGGGAGGGAGAGGGGAGTGGAGGGGAAGGGAGGAAATCAGGGTTTCATTGCCAGCCACGACACGGTGAGGGAGGAAGGAAGAAGGAGGAGGCAGTACGGGGGCCACAAGAAGGGGTGAAAGAGCGACACGATGGCTGGAGCGAGTGGTTTGGAGAAAAGCTGCCACAAAGGGGAGTGAGAACCCACCGCTCCCCAATCACGTAATTGATCTTTCGGCCCGAAGCTTTCTCCATGGCGGTGACCATCTCCAGGACACTGTAGCCCTTCCCTGTCCCTAAGTTGAAGACAAAGCAGCCTCCGTGGTGCCCCCGGGCCTTGGCGTAGTCGAGCGCGGCCAAGTGACCTTCCTAAAAGGGGCAGGGGATAGGGAGGGAGGGAGGAAAAAAGGGAGGGAGAGAGGAAAGGAGGGAGGGAGGGGCGGCGGAGGGGACATAA